GGTTATAGTGATCCGTAATAATGACGACAACAGAGCGATAGAGAGCGCTAAGTTGGAAATAGCATTTAAAAAAAAACCCCCTAAATCCGCATTCAACATCTGCAGTCAGTCCATTGTTGATGAAATGTTGCGCCCTTCTTGACACCTTTCTCTTGCTGTCATGTTTTCAACATTCACCATCCAATTTGGCTTAAAGCCAGGTTCACCTTGGTAAGCCAGGGTCAATTCAGTGTAATCTCTTCCTAGCTGCTGGGGTCAAAGCCAATTTTCTTTAAGTGGTCCTTCAAGGTTTCTTTGAAATGCTTCCGTTGGTTGCAGTGCAATCCTTTTCAGCATTGCGAGCTGCAAGTAGACAGCATGCTTTGGAGCGAGTCTCCCACATTCCGATGCTATAGCCTGTCCAGTGCAGTTACTGTATGAATATGACCAACTCTATGAACATGGTGCCTGTTTCCTGACATGTATTTGTGTTTGCTTAGCAATCCATCCAGGCAATGCACGGAGTATTTGTAGGCAATGCTGACTATGTGTCTCCAGCTTTCTCAGATGATGCTGATAAGTCACACCCAGATTTTGTAGCTATCAAGTGGCATCAACAGGGTGACTGCCTTATAGACTACTACCTTTCTGTCTATCTCCAAGTGATCATTAATCAAGACTCGCCTGTGCAGTTTATCAAAGGAGGCATTGTGGTTATATAGACTTGGGGCTGAACTGAGCTACAGAATTTCTAATTAAACATATAATGAGCATTAATATTATTCAATTAAGAAGCACCCCAACTGAGGTCAACAATTAGACAGAAAATTGTACGAATTAGTTAAGCAAGGAATGTTAGTTTGCAGATCAGGAAACATTTGGCACATTCAGGGGTGGTATTACAACACTAACAGGAATCTTACTTTAGAAGGATAATTTTTGATAATATCTAATGTTCATAACTGAAGCAAAATTATATCAAGTCTTTCATTTTATGACAATGTATTTATAGCACAGAAACAGGCTATTCAAGCAACAAGGTTCACTAACTCGGATTGCCTAGGGATGCTTCCTCTAGTCTTATGTTTGGACCCTGTCCACATATCCTTCTATTCCTTTATCCTATGTATACCTAGTTTTGTCTTGAACACATCTTTCTAATTGCCTCTCTATTGCTTGTGAGAACGACCTCCACTCTTTGGGTGAACTGGATTTTCCCAAGTTCCTTATGGATTTATTAGAATGATCTCATTTTAGAGATTAATCCTACTTCTGATTTCCTTCCAAGTATAAACCCTTTAATCATCTTAAAGCCTCATTTAGGTCACCTCTTAATCATTTTTTTTCTAGAGAAAGATTCCACAATCTGTTCATTTTTTTCTGAAAGGGTATAAGGCATTCAATTCAGATATTATTCCAGTAAACCCTCTTCACACCTTCCCAGTGCCTCTATCCTTTTAGCAATATGGAGGCCTCAAAAACAGAGTACTCAACAAGATTCAATACAAGTTTAACGTAATCGCTTGCTTTTCAACAATATCCATTAAGAAACGGACCTTGATGATATGTTTTAGTTTATGGCCTTATTAACCTGTGTCACAAGATGGAGTAATCTGGATTGGGTTTCAAATCCAAAATGCACAACTTGTGTCCTCCTCTCATAACTGTCTCACAAGAAATATGTTTGGATACCTTAACTGGCAATGTCACTCAGGGACAGCTTATATTGACTGGCTTAGAAAATACAATGCAAGTTATATTTATGCAATAGGAAATACACTGGAGATTGCTCACATTGTTGAGGCACATAAGGGACAGCTTTACTCTGCATCAAGCCATGTTGTACACAACTTGATAGGCTTTAAAATTGAAGCAAAAAAAGTGCTTCGTCACAAGCACCAACGTTCAATTAGCAGGACATACACTCACAAAATACAAAAAACAATTCAATTTCTTAACAGGTCCTGAAAATAAGGCATTAAATCTATGAATCAAGTTTATATTCAAAACTCCAAAATTTATTTTTAAAAGTTTATCAAAAGGAATGTCAGTGAATTGTCACAAGATAGTTGTCTTCCAAAATGTGAATTACATGTGATAAAATGTCAAGATGGTGGACGAAAAAAAAAATGACGTGAAAATGGAAGACAACGTCAGGGAAAAAAAAAGTTAGAAGCCAATGGAGAATCACAATTCTACTGTAAGAACATAGTACCTTAGTGTCCAATGTTAACACTACCACACTGAAAACTGAAAATAATTATCACTCAAAAATGCTTTCAAATAAATCACTGAAACAATTCTTAATTTTAACCAAGGCACAGGATAACAATGAGCTTGAGGGGTGCGGGGGGTGGGGGCGAACGAAAAAACACCTTCAGCGAAACAAATTTGTACATTTCCGTTTGCATCTGTAGGTACAACCATACTCATAGACCCCCTGTGGTATCACAGACTGTGAGAGTGTGACACCTACGAAGTGTGACAGGAAGTAACCGCGATGTTTTCAGGAAATGCGTGTCACACAATACTTCTGATGTACACACATATTTCAATTAAAAAGTTTGTTTTCAGTATTTTTGTCTCTTCAGTGCGCTTGGAGGTTGAATGAATGTTATTGAAAGAAAAATCAGAAGTACAACAAACAATCATGCTTCAGCACTCATTATGTAACAGTCTCTATGAGAATTAAAGAATTTGACATTCTATGTGGTGCTGGTCAAGAATGCTCTACTGCATCATGCTGTAGTTGCTGAACGGGATGGATTTTAACAAAACTTTTTATATAATCCAATGGCCTAGAAATCCCAATGTGAATATTGCTACAAATAGAGGCACGTCGTTGAAGATCTTCATTTTGCATTCACCAGGATAAATGCCGAACTTCAAAAAGAATCACAACAATTTATATGTTCATAAGAATATGTTCAAGTCTTGCATCTTTTTAGTTACCTGAAAGAATAGTGAGCCTACAGCTCCTCATTGCCTTCTCCATGGTAATACTTTGGACAAACGGAGCTGACATTTCAACTGTTCAGCACTATTTTGTCCTGTAGTATAAATTGTTGGGACCGTTTGACATATGGCATTCTTGCATGTCTCATGATGAATGCAAGACTAAAAGTGTGGCATCATGTCTCTCTTTTCAACACTACTCAAAATCTCAATTTGCATTCCTCGGCACTTCAAATATAAATAATTAAGGTTATAAATCATTTAATGGCATGAAAGAATAGATCCTCAACTTTCATGTGTAACCAGGGAACTTCATCAAAAATAAAGAGGAAGTAAGTTGCAAAACTGTTATTACAGTCATGCAATTTCCTCTTTTCTTTCCCCTCCACCCACACCTCCTTAGAAACTGGTGAAAACAGCCGGTAATGTCATAGATATTGAATCTGATAAAGTATCCAGCAAATTACAAAGCAAATCAACTCTTAAGAATAAAAGAATTGCAGATGTTAAAGATCTTAAAAGAAAAACAGAAATTAATGGAGAAACTCAGCAGATTTGGCAGCATTTGTGGACACATAGCAGAGTTAATGCTTCAAGTCCAGTAACCCTTCTTCGGAACTGATAGTAGCTAGGAAAAGGCAGTATTTATGTTGTTGACAGGGACTGATGGGAGAGGAAAAGGAGTAAGTGGATAGGTGGAGGTAGAGGCATTACAGACAGAAAAATAAAGTTAGGCAGCCAAAGGGATGGTTGATAGCAAGCCAGGGAATGAGAAAAGCTGACAATGGGGATAACGAGTGGGTAAAAATAAGTTAGTGGTGCTGAAAACAGCCTGGGTCAATGACATGGCCTTGAGTGTGGTGGCAAAAAGGGCACGGAAGGAAATGATCAGGCCCTAAAATTATTGAACTTGATGCTGAATCTCAGAGGCTGCAGGGTCCCCAAATGGAAAATGAGATGCTGTTCTTTCAGATAGTGTTAAGCCTTGCTGGAGCACTGCAGCAAGCCTCAGACAGAGATATTAACCAGGGAATGTTGTGGTTGCCGAGTGGCAGGCAACTGGAAGCTCGGGGTCATTGTTACAGACAGAAGGTGGGTGTTCTGCAAAGCAATCATGCATTTTGTCTCCTCAGCGTACAGGAGACATATCATGAGCAGCAAATACAGTAAACTCGCAGGTAAATCAGGGTCAGGAGCTTGAACAGCAAGGAGGGAGGAGGTAAGCAGGTAAGTGTCTTGGGCTTGCTGCAGTGCTCCAGTGAGGCCCAGCGTAAGCTGGAAGAACAGCACCTCATCTTCCACATGGGGGCCTGCAGCCTATGGGACTCAAAATTGAGTTCAATAATTTTAGAGACTGAACAGCTTCTTCCACGTCCTTTACCCACCCTGACATCTCAGGCCCTGCCATGATGGGCTGCTTTCAGCACAGCCAACCTATTTTCACCTAATCACTATCCCCAGTAACGGCTTTTCTCCTTCCTGGTTTACCAATAAACATTCCTTTGGCGGCCTAGCTTTCTTTCTCTCTCTCTCCCTGGACTCCATCTCCATCCATCCACTCACTCCTTATACCCCACGCGATCATTGGCGTAAATACACTATTTCTTAGCTCCGATCAGTTCTGAAAAAGGGTCACTGGACTCAAAACATTAACTGTTTTCTCACCACAGATGCTGCCGGACCTGTTGAGTTTCTCCAGCAATTTCGGTTTTTGTTCAAACCCATAAGACGGGTAATTCAGCAGTTAACAAAACCGTAAACTAAGGTCCTGTTTTGCCCTGCACTTTTTGTTCAATTGAAAATGGAATTTATTCTTTAAGTTTTGATAAAGAAACCTGGATCCTTGAGTTTTAAGTTTCATAACCCCAGTCAACAAAAATGGAGAGACACATGCAAGCTTCAATCAGAAGTATACTATGAAGCCAGGGGCTAAAACAAAGTAGAAAATGGCAGAAGTTGACAGCACAGCTTTGTCAGAAAACAAGCTTACCATATTCCACATGTTTTAAAGCTTTAAAAAGTACAATTTACAAATAAAAAAAGTTCACCAAAAGGGCAACACTCACATTGGCTGAAATCAAATACCAATTTTTCAGCTCAAATTTTCCTTGCTTTGTAATTCAACACTCACTGTAAATGTTCCACTATTAAGGTGGAGGAGCACAGGGCAACTGTTACATTTAAACCTAGAGAATTTGGTTGAGTCGTCAGCCTGCTGTCCTCAGCATGCTGGAGGAAAACAGCATGTGCCACAACTGTGGTAAACAACCAACCCCTTCCTCATATCAGCCTACAACATTTGGCTTGGAGAGATTAGAGAGCTGAAACAGCTGGAGCTAATCTCCTCCCCTTCCTTCAACCGTCCACCCACAAAAAGGATAAGTGGTCAATGTCAATCTTCAAACATGTTTTATAACTTTTATTGAACTTCACTTCTGTTTTGATTATCACTGGAGCAGATGTGGGAGCTTTTGTTACAGCAATGATTACAGCTAGTAAAATACTTTTGAAGCATAGTTAAGACCTCTGAGGCATCCTGAGGATAGAAAAAGCACTAAACAACAAATTATTGCATATTTTAGGTGCATTAAAATACCGAATCCTAAAAAATATATCCAATTTGTTTTTAATGCTTTGAATGATAGTACAAAATAATTGGATGTTCAAGGAGAGATGGTGGCTTCGTGATAACGATTGGGATAGGACTTCAAATCTCACCATGGTAGCTGGTGGAATTTGAACTCATTTGATAGAACTAGACTTGAAAACCACTCAGGAATGGTGACTATGGAACTATTTACTGTAAAAACCTATTTGGTTCACCAATGCCCTTTAAAAGGAAGGAAACCTTCGGTATGGCCTACATGCAACTCCAGACTAGACCAACTAAGAGTGACTAACAAATACTGGCTTTGTCAACAACACTCATCCCATGCAAGAGCAAAGAAAAAAAAACTGATGAGTTTAGGCAAGTGTCGGCCTGCAGCTGTGTGTCACACCTGGATGAGTTTGCTGTTGACTGCTTGAAATGAGAAAGATCTCAAGCAAAGCATCCCTCATGCCCTCACATAAAATTCAGAAAACTTTTTTTTTAAAATAAACAAAATATATGAGCACAAAACCACAATATCATGTCATTTGTTTTTAAATTCTACAAACTATCAATTGCGTACATTGTTATTAACTGTAATTAGGTATATCGTAGTTAAATCATCTTCAGATTCAGATGTACACGCTGTAGCATGCATGTATAGTGTTTTTCAATTTTTTTCATCCTTTCACAGGAAGAGGGTCATTGCAAAGGCCAACATTTGCTGGCTATGTTAAATATCCTCAAATTAACTTCTTGAACCTTTACAGTCTATTAGGTGTAGGCACATCCACAGTGCTGTTTGAAAGGGAGTGTCAGGATTTGAGCCTGGCAACAAAGGATTGACAATAAAGTTCCAAATCAGGATGGCATAATACTTGGAGAGAAATTTGGAGGTTGTGTTGTTCCTAAGTATCTGCTGCCCATGTCCTTCTAGATAGTAGCAATTAAGAGTTTAGAAGGTGTTGCATGCAGGTAGCAATGTGTACCATCTAACACTGTTGGTGGTGGAAGAAAATGTTTAAGGTGATGTATAGAATGCAGATAAATTGGGCTGTTTTGTCCTGGATGGTGTCAAGCTTCAAAATGTTGTTGTTTCTAAACCCATTCAGGCAAATGGCAAATATTCCATCACACACAGGGGATACATGGGCAATTCCTCACAATCCCAAGTAGTGTTCCAGTTAGATTGAAATAGCTTGGTGAAGGCTATAGTTGATTTGAGGACAAGTCTTCAGTCATATGGGCTCATAGCCTTTTCGGTATCCAGTGTCTTTCGCCATTTTTTGATATCGCATGGAATGAATAGAATTGGTTGAACAAAAACAGAAGTTCTCAGGAAGGGCCACCGAACTGAAAACGTTAATTCTGATTTTTCTTCACAGATGTTGCCAGACCTGCCGAGCCTTTCCAGCAATTTCTGTTTTTGTTCCTGATTTACAACTTCTGCAGTTCTTTCACTTTTTATTTAGAATTGCTTGAAGATTGACATCTGTGATGCAGCAGACCTGAGGAGGAGGTGACAAGATGAATCATCCACTCATCACATCTGGCTGAAGATGTTTGCAAATGTTCTGGTTTTTTGTCTTTTATACTGATGTTTTGAGATCCCCGAACATATAAGATGTGGATGTTGTTCAACCTCTTCCTTCTGTTACTTGTTTAATTGACCAACACCATTCACAGCAATATATAACAGGTTAGCAGATCCATTGGTTGCAGGATTACTTAGGCTCTGTCCCCTGCTGCTTCTGTGGTTTGGCATTCATTTCATCCTGGGTTGTAGCTTCACCAGCTCAGTGGCTACTTTTTAGGCACGTCTGGTGCTGTTCCTGGAACCCTTTCCTGCACCCTTCATTGAACAATGGTTGATTAGCATTGATGGTATGATGGTAATGGCAGTGTTTGATATTGGCAGATATTTCAGGCCAAAGTTTCCTAAATTACAGCATTGGTTATACTTCAAAAGTATTTCATTGGGTCTGTGGCTGTGAAAGGCACTATACAGATCCAAGTTTTGCTTTTAATCCAATGAATGGCACCATACTCATGTCAATGGGAAAATCTACATTTTGTCGACGTTTTATTTGCGAATGGGAGCACAACATTTTACTTTGGTGGTAAAGAATAGATTACGCTGTAGAATTAATATTTATCAACACTAGATTAAACATATGTCAGCTCTTCCCCCCCCCACCCCGGCACACTAGCCCACTCCTGGGAAATAAAAACCAAAAGAATGGAAGTAACAATTCCACTCCTGCACTCAAAATGTGTCATAAAACTCTTAGCATTTCTATTCTCAGGGTCTGAGGGTCTTTAATAGCGGCTCTACTAAGTTGCTATTATATTGTCCAAGGAGGCATGGACAGCATTGTTTCTCTCCAAACTCTTGTACTCTTGTGGTTGTGGGGAAATAACAGTTCAGCTGCAACCTTTCTGTATCCTCTCCCGAATGCCATCATTTATCGGGCAAGATATAAACAGAAAATCTGTTTGCAATTGACAATTTAAAACATGACATGTGGTGCACTAACACAACAAAACTGTTATTGTAATTTCACATGGGCATTTTACGTTGTCAAAAAATGCAACTTCTATTCTCTTTTAAAAGTTATGATGTGACACCTGTGCTGTTGAACAGATTTTATAGAAACAGAAGTCAGGTGCAGGAGGAGCCTGCTCCACCATTCTTCACGATCATGGCTGATCGTCCAACTCAATAGCCTAATCCTGCTTTCTCCCCATAACCTTTCATCCCATTCACCCCAAGTGCTGTATCTAGCCGCCTCCTGAATACGTTCTATGCTTTGGCATCAACTACTTCCTGTGGTAATGAATTCCACAGGCTCACCACTCTTTGGGTGAAGAAATGTCTCCTCATCTCCATCCTAAATGGTCTACCCCAAATCCTCATACTGTGACCCCTGGTTCTGGACACACCCACCATTGGGAACATCCTCTCTGCATCTACCCTGTCCAGTCCTGTTAGAATTTTATAAGCTTCTGAGATTCTCCCTCATTGATCTGAACTCTAGCGAAAACAATCCCAACCTAGTCAACCTCTCCTCATAGTCAGACCCGCCATCCCCGGAATCAGCCTGGTAAATCTCTCGAGAGCAAGAGCATCCTTCCTCAGAAAAGGATGCCAAAACTGCACACAGTATTTTAGGCGTGGCCTCACCAAGGCCTTCTATATCTGCAACAACACATCCCTGCTTCTGTACTTGAAACCTCTCACAATGAAGGCCAACATACCATTTGCCTTCCTTACCACCTGCTGCACCTGCATGCTTACCTTCAGCGACTGGTGCACAAGGACACCCAGGTCACGGTGCACACTCCCCTCTCCCCATTTACAGCCATTCAGGTAGTAACCTGCCTTCTTGTTTTTGCTTCCGAAGTGAATAACCTAGCTAGTGATGTAATCAACTGGTTAAAATGAACAGGGTGATTAAGGAGGCCTTTAGCGTGCTTGCCTTTATTGCTCAGACTGCTGAGCATAGGATTTGGGAAGTCATGTTGAGTTCTTAAATGGGACTTTGGTGAGGCCTCTTCTAGAATACTGTGTCCAGCTCTAGGCATCCTGTAATAGGAAGCATATTATCAAGCTGGAGGGGTTCAGAAGAGATTTACCAGCATGTTGCCAGGAGTAGAAGATTGGAGGTATAGGGAGGGCTGGATAGCCTAGGTCTTTTTCCACTGGAGAGGTGACCTTATAGAGTTTATTAAAATCATGAGGGATATAGATAAAGGTGAATAGCAAGCGTCTTTTCCCTAGGGTGGAGGATTTCACAACTCGGGGCATATTTTTAAGGTGAAAGGAGAAAGATTTAAAAAGGATATGAGAGGGCAACCTTTTTTCTAAAGCACAGTAGTTTGAGAGTGGAATGAGCTTCCAGAGGAAGTGGTGGATGTGGGTACAGTTACAACATCTAAACGACATTTGGGTAAGTGCACAAATAAGAAAGGTTTGGAGGGATACAGGCCAAGCACAGGCAGGTGGGACTAATTTAGTTTGGGATTGCAGTCAGCATGGACTGGTTGGACCAAAGGGGCCATTACCATGCAGTATGACTCTAACACCAGCAAGAGAGAGGCCTACCGTTTGCTGCATGGGTGTGATGGAAGGCACTCTTGTGAATATCATGATGAATGGCGGAGCAGGGTCAAAGGGCCGAACGGCCTCCTCCTGCTCCTATGTTTCTATGCATACCAACATTCTTTAGGATTCCTTTGCTAATTTAGAGACTTCTTTTAAAAGAAAAATCACTGCCCAAATAAAAGGTTTTAGCATCTACAGAACACATTTTCCTTTCTTTGAAGAAAGTAACAATAAAAGCAATGCAAATGATTCACTGCTACATCAAAAAGTGCTGGGACGTGTAGAGAAGTCTGATGGTCAACAGGCCTCCATTTATGTTGCATCTTATTCTATAAGCCACCCGAGTACAAAGGCACAGGGCCTATTTGGTCCAAATTACACAGATTTATAGCAGGGCAGCTGCCTTGTGCATAGAAAGTTTCAAACTCAGCGCTTAACCTCTTAAATAATTTCAGCATATTCTGTCAGGAAATGTATAACTTCTCTATTTGTTATTGCAACGTGAT